AAATGAGAAACTATGAAGACGCAAAACCCTTAGTCTCCGGCAGTCCCTTGAAACTAGGCTATGGTAGCAGTCACGGAGGTAGAGGGACAGAGGGTGCTAAGAATCTCCGGAGTGGACCAGGCTACCTATACAACCGACAACGGCAAAGAATATGGTTTATAGCAACATATAACACCAGAACATTGATGGAGGACGAAAAACTCGAGGAACTTGAAAACGAGCTGAAGCATATAAAATGGGATATACTTGTGGTACTTTCGTCGGGAAATCTATTTCACTATAAAAAATATAAATAAAAAACACGAAGAATATATTTACAATTAAAAGCATAAGTGATAGAGTTACTTATCTTATCTACAAAACTGAATCTACGATGACGTTAACGCAGCGCTAGAACAGGTAACCACCAACTATACCATACTGATGGGAGAACTAAACGAAAAAATAGGCCACAAGCAGGATGATTCGGAGTTTGTACTTGGACCTCACGGATATGGCGACAGAAACAAAAGGGTTCAAACTCTTATAGAATTTTTTCTGCAACACAGACTATATGTCATGAACACCCATTTTAAAAAAAGCCCCCAAAGAAAGTGGACTTTGTAATCACCAAATGGCTTGAACAAGAACGAAATTGACTTGATCTTTACTGACAAAAAAGACGCTGTTCAAGACGTAACTGTATTAAATCAATTTTCAACCTGAAGTAACCATAGAATGGTTAGAGCGAGGGTAGGCTTGAACGTAAAGAAGGAACAAAGAAATATGACAACAAGGACTAAAAATGTTACGTTCACTGCGATTACTAACACAAGGACATACCAGGAAGAAACAGATAGTAACCTTCAGAATGACGTGCAAGATAAAACCGATATTGAACAACTTAACGAAAGATTAGTGGACGCTCTATGGAAGGCACAAGAAACCTAATCCATAAAAGAAGAGAAATGGAAGATAAACACACAGTGAACATCGCAGAGCTAAGGAATTTAGGAACACTAAAGAAATAACTGGAAATGGAAAAATAAATGGATGTCAAACTTGGACCCTAACCAAGGCAAACATGAATAAACTAGCCACAATAGAAAGAACAATGGAAAGAGTAATGTTAGGTATACGACTGTCAGATAAAAAGAGGAACGACTGGGTAAGATCCAAAACAAAAGTCGAGGACATAACAATAAAAATTGCAAAACTTAAATGGAGCTTCGCGGGCCACACTGCTAGACAGAAAGACCAACGTTGGAATACTACAAGTTGGAATACTACAATACAACATTGGAGACCTTACGAAAGTAAACGACCAAGAGGAAGACCACAGATGAGATGGGTTGATAACATTAGAAGAATAGCCGGAACAAATTGGACATATGTTGCTCAGGATAGAGACCGATGGAAGGAGTTGGGAGAGGCCTATGTCCAAACATGGACGACAGAAGGCTAAGAAGAAGAAAAAAGAAATAACTAATACCATAGAACAAAATAAAAGCCTTAAAGTTCTAAAACGAAAGTTGAAGACAGGAACCAGGAACATTTATAAGCTAAAAAATAGACAAGAAATTATGAAAATTACTATAGAACATTATAATATCGTCGAGATGCTCACATTCCAGAGATGGAAATCCCAGCCATACAAAATCAAGGATCCGAGGAACTTCCAGATATAACCGAAGAGGAAATCGAATCAGCGTTGAAAGGTATGAAGAACGGTAAATCACCTGCAGAAGATGGCATTGTAAGTGAAATGCTAAAATTAGAAGGCGAATGCGTCATAAAAGCTTTAAAAACCCTTTATAATGCCTGCCTCTTTGAAGAAGTTACACAAGTTACAAAAGTTACAAAAGTTACAAAAATGAAAGAGTGCCATTATGATAATATTGGACAAAAAAGGAGATGTAACAGAAATTGGAAACTACAGACCTATCAGCTTGTATATAAGATCTTTAGAATTACTAACAGACTAGCACCTAAACTGGATTTTCACCAACCATTAGAGCAGACCGGATTTAGGAGTGGCTTTGGAACGAATGACCACCTACAAGTAATAAAAACTTTGAGAAAGCGTTTGACTCAGTCCAGCATAGCTCCATGTTAAGAGCTCTTACAGAGTGCAGTATTGATCATAAGTACACAACTCTTCTTCGGAATATATATAATAGCGCAACAGCTGCAGTTAGAATGTATTATGGCAACACAAATACATTTCCCTTCGAGAGGGGTATTAGGCAAGGAGATACCATCTCTGCTAAGCTATTCACCGCTTTGTTGCAGTGCTATGAGAAACAATAATTGGGAGAATATTGGAGTCAACATAAATAGGTAGTTTCTGAACAACTTGAGATTTGCAGACGACATAGTCCTTATTGCAGACCGGGTAGATCAGGCTTGTCAGCTTCTTCAAGACCTTCAGAGCTCGTATACACGAGTTGAAATTAAAATTAATTTTTCCAAAATACGATATATGACCAACCTTGTACTGGTTGGTTGCGAAAAACATCTCAATTAACGGCATGCAAATTGAACAGGTGTATAGCTATAAATATCTGGGCCACGAGATTAAATTAGGAAGAGATAATCAAACAACGGAACTAAACAGGTGAATAGGATTGGCATGGGCGGCTTACGGAAAACTGAGAGAAGTCTTTACATCAGATATTCTCATGTGCTTGAAAAGGAAGGTCTTTGATCAATGTGTACTCCCAGTTCTAACGTATGGAGCAGAAACATTGACCCTTACCAGAAAAGTAATCAATAAAATACAAGTGGCAAAGAGAAGTCAATGCTCAGAGTCCCTCAGAGACAGAGTATCAAATACAATAGTTAGGAGAAAAACTGGTGTTACTGACGCAGTTCAAAGGATTACAACATTGAAATGGAACTGGACGAGGCAAGTTGCCAGATTAAATGATGGAAGGTGGACGAAGAAAATTCTGTGTAGATACTGTAAAGTACTTATAGTAAACTACTAGCGTACAATGGACTGAAGCCAATTTGGACATAAGGAATAGAGGTGTAGGGCACTGCTTTAAAATCCAACCTATCAATTACGGACCAATTTCAAAACAAGGTATTACGAGCAATAACTGATGCGCCATGGGTTATAAGCAACAAAAGCATACTATAAGACCTACAAGTGCAAACTGTGAGTGAAGTAATAGTTGCACATAGTGACAAATATTTAAAACGATTAGAGAACCACCCAAATATGTGAGCGTCCAATTTATTGGACAATGGTCATCAAACGAGACATCTGAAATAAAAATTACCATTAGATTTACCATTCTTACAGTTAAAAATCGATAGTTGTAATATTCACGCAGAGTAAATATTTATTGAAATACTTCTCTTCACGCCAATGACGTAAAGTCAAAAAATGTGTTTATAGTTTCTTTTTGACTGATTGCACAGTAAAAAAAGATATGGTATCTCCAAATTTATTAACAGAAGTTGTTAGATACTTGGATACTTGTATCGACAATTGTAATGGGAAAATCGATAGTTACCTGGTTTACTAATATAACAACAAGAACGAGGTACTTTACGAGAAAATAATGAAATCACCAATCCTTAAAAAATTACACGAAAAAAACTTCCAACAGTTACAAAAACAAATTTATGTGCATTCATTGAAAAAAAGATGATGAACCAGCTGCATTCAGAGAGCATATACATGTAGAGCAAATATATATAGAGAGCTGCATGTAGAGAATATACAACATTGAAAATGAATGCATATATTGCCATTGTAATAAAAAACCAGACTGGAGAGTCAATCAAGTAAGTATAAACTGTAAAAATTACAACAATTTTGCATTCAATTAAAACTTGATAAGTAATATCAACATAAACTATGCAGCGAATAATTATATAAAAAAAGATGTTACGAGGGGGGTTACGAACGCATGTCACAACGGCAAAGAGACCATAAAAAGTTAAAGATTAACTTGAAATCAAATTTGTTGATTCATTAACCCATACATATATTTAGTAAAAGCGTAAAATATTTAAAACAAACAATTGCACATTAATCCCTAAATTTGGAATGATGTTAGAAAAATTTACATTAGTTAAAATGTCCTTAATGAACTAAAATTTATTTAATAAGGATCATGCTGAAAATGTTTAAATAATGAACGAATATAAGACATTTTATGTGGAAAATATATACCATGCGTTAGAATAAGTGTTACCCCCACCCTATTAACTTATTTATTTTTAGCACCATTTTATTACGTACCTAAAAAAGATTAACTATTTAGGTACATATTAAAATTCTTTCTCGCGTAATTTAAATTCTGTAAATGTTATAAAAAAAAAGTCAAAGTTATCACTGACACCTGAAGAGGAATTGCGCAAAGTTATAATATACTACAATTATTTTAAAAATCGACTTGTCCAGCGCATGGTGTATGGTTTTTATAAAACTGTAAAAAATCATAACACAATAAAAAATTTATTTTTGCATAGCTACTTTATATGACGTAATAATGCAAATGCTTGCCAGTTACCTAATATTTATATCACTTTGATTATTTCATATCTACATTCTTATAATTATTTTACTGTTAATCACTACATGTCTTTAATGGATTTTTAGTATAATTTTAAGGTTTAAGTTTTAGTATAGTATTTTAATAACTTTAGTTTCGCAATCACACAATTTACTTAAAATCTACTAAATGTAATGTAATTTACAAAGAACTGACTAAAGGGTCCAATGGCTAATTAAATAAAGTAAAACATTTAAACACATAAAAGAAAAAAGACAACTGCCATTGTAGATATTGATTATTTAAAGAAAGTTTATAACTTTCTTAAAATGTCCGTTGTTTAACATTTTTCAGCATAATACTCTTCAATTTTAAGTACATTAGAACGAAAATAATAGTACATAACAGAATTTAAAAAAAATGATAAAAGTTTAAAAAATCCAATGATTCGAGTATTTCCAGGATAGGAAGCACCTAATACTTTTAGTAATGTAAGTAACCATGACACATTTACAAACATTTAGATTGAACAATGATTTTTCCACTTTCGTCGTATTCTTGTTTGGAAACCCATAGTTGTTGAAACGATCCTAATGAACTGAGAATCGATCCTCCAGTCCAAGCGCCAAACCTGCGTTCTGAGGCTCCGGGAGCACTGATTATTTTCAGGCGCATACTCTAAAAACAGGAAAGTTCTTTATTTAATGTCTTAACAAAAGAGATATTGAGTTTTTGTTTAGTTTAAAATGAAATTAATTTCAAAAACTTGCTACCTCAAAACATCCACTAGCCCAACAGTGATACAAGAATCATATCATTTTTTTGTCAACTTTTTATTGTCGGAAGGTAAGGGAACATGGAGGTGTAATTTTTAGCGATAATAAAATCTCTACACGACCAGTGTTACTTAAATAATATATCATGTGAATATGAGGATGAATTTTGTGTATTAGAAATTATAGATATTAAAACTATTGTTACGATAATAAATATTATGACGTATAAAACTGTAAATATATTATGACTAATTCTTTTCTATTTCTAGTAATTTCGGCGCTCATACCTGTTTACCTGCCGGCAGAAATTAGTAGACCCTTCTTCGAGACCAGTCCATGAGTCACCTAATGGATGGAAGGTCATCGATTCTTCGCCAGACCCTTCTAGATAACGGCATTTTATATATAATAACGGGATTTTTGAGATCAGTTAGTCAAAAGAAGATATCGCGATCGCGTTAAAACTGTATCCCACGTAGATAAATTATTAAGTGTAACATAAATTAGTAGTAATAAAGACTTTGATGTATTTGTGAGTGTTATAAATAATGAACCTTTAGTAAATTAAAATAAGAACAATAAATTAGAATTAATAAAGACTTCACAGTGATGTGCAGCATTGATTCATTAAAAAAGTTATTCGTTCTATTAGGAGTGCACCTCCTGCTTTAAATAACTCTACAGCTATATTGATAGGTACTGGAGATCGCCCATTTTTCATTTTAATTAACGCAGTACGGACCTCGTTGTTAGTAGTATTAATGTTAGTATTTGTTTGTCTCTCCATACTGTATTCCTCCCCCATATATTCCAATCTGGACTCTTGGAGTAAATTTTTATAGTGATTTTCCCACTTTTCTATAGAAATTAGGAGATTTCTATGGAGAAATAAAATTAGAAAAGAGAATAAAAGAGGTCATTTTGCGACTCCTCTTCACACTGCGACATAAAATATATTTTGAGATGATGATAATAAAATTATGTCATTTAACTAAAAAGGCAATATATTAAAAATATCATAGCAGAAAATAAACTATTTACACAAAAATACTTACTGGGGGAGTTTTAGCAGCTAAATCTCTATTAAGCCGCTCTGTAAAGCCCTGTAGACTAGAATTTCCACCCGTAACAACAACACTACCATACATAGCCTAAAATAAAAATAATGATCAACATCTTAAATTTATGTATATATATATATATATATATATATATATATATATATATATAAAACTATAAATAAACAAGAATTTTAATAAAAGAACTAGACTTGGGAACAAAAATTGTGGAATTATACATTATGCAGGCAAATCTGTATAAGGAAACATGGTTGTCTTTTTTTCTTACTCTTATAAGGCACTGGACGTTTCGATAGCCATATTAAGGTTTGAATATCATATCACACATATTCTAAACGCTATCAAAACAAACAAAATTTTACTGCTTTATTTTTCTAAAAACTTTTCAAGTTTTGAAAGCATATTAAAAATAATATTGTGCCTACTAGCTAATTCGATTATTGCTTTTTATATTTCATCGTAATAGACCGCAAAAAGCCGAGGATTGCTGAAATAGTTTAAGATAAAATTTTTAGGTTATAATGACCAATAATTGTAGCGGTTATTTCCAAGATATCAGTACTGATGAAAAGCAAATAATAGCATGCGACAGCATATTCAAGAATATACATTGCAGAAAAATGCTCTGGATTTTCCACATCCGAGATATAGGCAATTATTTTGCAGAAACGTCTACTTATGCACTTTTGTGCTACCTGTCGTGATGCTGAAGAGATGATGAAGAGTGTTCCTATGTTTGTGCGAAGATTTGCCAAGTTGGAAGAAGAAATCACCATGCCAGAAAAGACTACTTCAAATGAAAATAGCAATTCACAGACTACAGCCAATTTAGTTTTTTATGAAGTACAACGACGTATAGCTCAGAATCATATTAATTATAAAATTCCTGAATATAACTCTAATGTACTAGCTGATCGCATTAGATATGATAAATCTCAGGTGTATAAGGTCTTTCGATAATTGGCTTACAGCAGAAGGAATCCACCATATAACATGTTATCCGAGTTAGCAAAGTGTCCAGTTACCTTCAAGCTAACATGGTGAATTGGCTTCTAAGTCTAGTAATAAACTTTGAAATACTGTTTATAGAATCTCTAAGGATCAAACTAAGATGGAACAAGTCGCTTACAAGGCAGCTAAAAAGGAACTAGATGAAATAAAATCTGCTGGCGATGAAACTTGTATGTGATGGTTTTAGTACCTACAGATGTGATAGATCCCAGAGAACCAGTGCAAAGTTGAGTGGCGGAGGTGTACTAGTGTTTGTTAACAACAAACTAAAATGACAAACCATTAGTATTCGTGAAGATCAGATTGAGCAAAATATCTTAGTCAACTTAATGAAGTCAAGTTTGTGGTCGGTGGTGTCTACATATCTTCACAATCACCTCGCGAAGTATACAACTGGCATTGTCAAACCGTGGAAAATGTTGATTTGCAATACTCCGAACAGGGTATCTATGTTTTGGTGATTGCAATTTTCCCAATGCATCATGGGAGAATAATGAGTTTGGTATGATGGTGCATTGTCCTGCAGGTGATCCTTCTTCTTCTTCTTCTTACGGTGCCTATCCGTTCCGGATCTTGTGATCAGCAGGTGATCCAGCTGTAAATATTGCTCAAGCCTTTGGTTCTTTAAAATTGTATCAACATATTACCCAATATTAACCAATAATCGTAATGCATTTTTGGATTTAGTTTTTTCTAATATTAGGGAGCTAAATATTTTAAAAGCAAGAGATCCCCTTGTAGATCCTAGCATCCTTTATATGGGTTATGAAAGTTGCTTAAACCTAAATATGAAAGAAACAAGGAGTCCGGTCCTGAACATGGTGACACAAACTGTGTTTACATTTCAGTCCCGCAAAAGTGTACTTTCAAAGTAATTAATATCAAAAAACTTAAACAAAAGCAGTAAGCGATCGTATATAGTGCAGTTACATTACCGAAAAAACAAACAGTGAGTTATTATTATTTTATATATCAAAACGTTTCAAAAGCATACTATTTGTAAGGTTAAGTGTCGGCCGAAAGGCCTGTTATCAGAACCACTGCTGGTTCTACAACTGGTTTAAATAATTATTAATTACCTACTAATGAGTTTATCAAATTATATCAGATCCGACCTTAAAAATTTGTCAACAGCCATGACTGACGATCAACAATCACAAAACAAAACAACATATATAACAACAACATGCTGTGCTTAATAATACTTCAATTCAGTTTCCTTCTAAGAATCAAGCAATTTTATTTAATGCGCTACCTGATACTAAAATAGAAGAGTACCTAATAGCTCTTGGCGAAGTTGTTCATCCACGGAATATTTTATTTTCATCAAGACTATCAAATAACAGAATATGTATCTATCTCTCCAGCGAATCCTTGGTCGAAAAATTTATGTCCAATCTAGCAGAAATAACAATAAAAGGCGAAAATCTAAAGGCTAGAAGATTAATAACTCCGAACGAAAGACTGTTACTATCGAATGTATGCCCTTCTATTCCACATACTCTAATAGAAAATGAGTTAATTAAATTGGTCTCAAATTAATGTCACCTTTAACCTTCCTTAGAATAGGTAGTCAACTCCCAGAATTTCAACACGTCTTCAGTTTTAGAAGACAAACATATATTCAACCACTTGTAGATATGGACCTACCTTCTTCCTTCTTAATTACATATGAACAAACTTCGTATCGCATATTTTTAAGTTTAGATAAACCTTCATGTTTTATTTGTAAGCAAACAGATCACATTGCAGCACATTGTACAAGTCATAATCCACAAATAATCCCACTCTTATCCACCATCAACCACAACAACCAATACAACAGCAACCACAAGAATCCTCACAGTATAAAAATCGCCCTTAGAAATAGAACCAGATCTTCCAGTCAGTAATTCTAATACCGAACCTACACCTAACCAAAAAACAGATACCAATTTAATACCTCCCGTACTTATGGAAACTACTGGTATATCTAAAGACCAGTCATCGACCAACAAAAGAACAATTTCGGAAATCAATACTACTCCATCTCCCACTGAAGAATTAAATAAAGAATTTAAAATCCCAAAACAAACCAAAAAGAAACAAAAAAAGCAACCTGAAGCTACCATATCAATTCAGGAAATGATGATGCCAACAAAAATAATATTTCATAATATGTCAAATAATTTTAACTTAACATATGAACAAACTCTTGACTTTTTTGAAAATTATTCTAGCTCGTCTGATCCCCTGAGCTTAATACAAACGTACACAACGGATATACCCAACTTTATGAATATGATAACAACAATTAAGTCATATTTTACAGAAAAAAGCATGAAAACCAAATGCACTAAAATAATAAACAAAATACAAAAAATGCTGAACTCAGACGATTCCGCAAATCAAGAAAGTGACACTACATCAAATTCAACTCAAGAAATAAACTAAAATCTTCGATCCGATTATTCAATGGAATGTTAACGGGTTCTATCCCGTTTAGAAATGCTTAAACATTTATGTTCAATAATCTCGCCATCAATTATTTGTTTACAAGAAACAAACTTTAAAGGACAGCATAGTTATGACATGAGGAATTATTCTTGTTTCCATAAAAACCGAAACAACGCAAATATCGCTAGTGGAGGAGTTGTTACATATGTTAACCAAAAATATGAATCGGAAGCAATAGTAATTAATAGTAAATTAGAAGTAGTAGGAGTATCAGTGTCCTTTCCACAAAAAATAAATATCTGTAATTTATATATTCCACCTGACTTACCAATCACAGAAGCAGATATTTCAGATGTACTAGATCAGATTCCCACTCCCAGAATAATTGTTGGTGATTTTAATAGTCACAATCCAATATGGGGATCTCTTGGAATAAATTCCAAAGGTAAAATTGTAGAAAGCATAATTACCTTAAAAAACCTAAACTTACTGAATGATGGACAATCAACACGATATAATATTCATACAGGTACCTCATCAGCTATCGACCTGTCATTATGTGATCCTGTACTGTCACCAAAGTTTTCATGGGATGTAATCCCGTTTTTATATGGAAGTGATCATTATCCTATTAAAATCTCTTTCAATAATAATTATGAAGATATTAATACAACTCCAATTCCAAAATGGAATCTAAAGAAAGCCAATTGGTATTTATTCAAAAAGTATATTCAACAGAACTGCCATACTTTAAAAGAAGTCACCGAAAACCGACATATAGATGAACTTCTAAATTCGTTTATATCACTAATTCATTCTGCTGGCGAAAGTCATATAGGTAAAACACAAACTCTACATAAAAGAAATTCATTACCATGGTGGAACGCACAGTGTACTGACATAATAAAAAAATATAAAAAATCCTTTAACAAATTAAAACGTCACAAAACACCTGAAAATACCATAGAATATAAGAAATTACGGGCTCAAGCTAGATATATAACTAAAAAGAACAGAAGAAAATCTTGGCAAGAATTTATGTCTTCTATTAATACCAATATGCCTATAAGCACGGTATGGGAGAATGTTAGAAAAATATCTGGAAGCAATACCTATAAAAGGATTCCATTCCTATGCAAAAATAAACAGATAGTAACATCTAATTACGACATAGCAGAATTAATAGCAAAACAATTTGAAATGAACTCCAGCAATAATAACTTTTCTAAAGATTTTATCAATACTAAGATGATTTCGGAAAATCAGTTAATAGATTTTGATTGCATTGAAGATAATCCCCTTAATATAACATTTACCATAGAAGAGCTTAATCACTCTTTAAATACCAGCAAAAAATCGGCGCCAGGACCAGACAATATTCCTGTCAGTTTCTTACAAAATCTACCAGATAATGGAAAAAAATATCTTCTTAACCTATACAACAGAATTTGGATCAATAATGAGTTTCCCACAACATGGACGCAGGCGATAATAATTCCATTACTAAAACCAAATAAATCACGAACTGATCCTGATTCCTATAGGCCAATTTCTCTTACCAATACAATGTGCAAAATCCTAGAAAAAATGGTGAATTATAGATTGAGGTGGTTTTTGGAAAATAA